AAAGAAAGAAAGAAAGAAAGAAAGAAAGAAAGAAAGAAAGAAAGAAAGAAAGGAAGGAAAGAAGAAAGAAAGCAAAAGTGAGAGGGGAGGGAGAGGGAGGGAGAAAGGAAAGAAGGAAGGAAGGAAGGAAGGAAGGAAGAAAAAAAAAGCGAGTACTGGCCATTGATTTCTCTACACACTGACTTGCAGACTCAATGGGAATTGCTGTCTCATGCCCTGATGCATGCTTCTCACTAGGATGGCTATATCCTTAAACTGTGAGTCCAAAATAAATGTTTCTTTCTTTATATTGTTTTGTCATCACAGTAATGCAGAAGTAACTAATACAGCTACTCATTAGCTAAGCCCTGTATAAAATTTGCTTTAGACATTTTCACATTTTTTTTTCCCAACTGTATCAAGAAGAGAAGGCTAAGAATTTAAGCAGTTCATAATTATTTTTTCCTCTCAAAAACACTTTCTTAAACAGACAACTCAACATTTGTTTTAAGATTCTTACACCAGTTTGGATTGTTCCTTTTTTAAATTTTGTGGGAATTTTTTTTTTGGGGGGGGGCGGTCTAGAATTTGATCATTTAAACCTATATATAATGGTTCACTAATAAAATGTTGAGGTTAGGACTAACTGAAATATTTTCCCACATGAATATTTTGACATAGTTTTGAATAGTTAACTAGTAGCAGGGAGGTGTTATGGGCACATCTGCATTCCCTGTTACTTGGAGGAGGAAGCAGTAAGAAATCTTGAGCATTAAAATTTCGAGTCTAGTCTGGATAACATAGTGAGTCTTGCCTCAAAAAGAGAAAGCTTCAGGGCTGGAGAGATGGTGTACATGTTAAGAACACCAGCTGTTCTTCCAAGGGTCCTGAGTTCAATTCCCAGCAACCACATGGGGCTCATAGCCATCTACAGTGAGATCAGGTGCCCTCTTCTGGTGCACAGGCACACATAGAGACAGAATGCTGTATAAATAATAAATAAATAAATCTTTTGAAAAAAGAGAGAGAAAGCCTCAATATTTTCAAGATCTTTAGCAATGGGTAATTTTTTAAAATGTTTCCAACCTTAAAGAATGACTTTAGGAGGTAAATATGGTGAATATATTTTATTTTATTCTCTCTGTATAAACAATAGATATACATACATAATATAACAAAAATATGACTATTTAGAAATAATTTGTTTTGTTTGGTTCTTATTTGTTTTAGATGGTCTCTGTATGCAGTCCATGCTGGCCTTGAACATATGATGCTCCCACCTCTTGAGTACTGGGAAAATAAGTATGTGTCATCATATCTGACCATGTTGAACATCTTTTTGGAAATCAGTTGTTCCTTAAACTTATATATCAGCGTTACTATTATTTTCACCTCATTGTACATCATCATTGTAGTGGTGGTTTGAATGAGAATGGACCCCATACGCTAATATGTTTGAATATTTGGTACCATTTCATGTAAATTTGTGAAGGAGTAGTATGTGTCACCTTGTTGGATGAGGTGTGTCAGAAGCTTAAAACCTTTCCAAGTGTCTTTCTGCCTCCTGCTGTGGATCAAGATGTGATCTCTCAGCTGCTACTTCAGCCTCTCACCTCCATGTTCTTGTTCTGCCACCACAGACCGTAATCTTTTTTTTTTAATTTTTTAATTTTTTTTGACTGTAATCTTCTAACCACAAACCCAATTAAATTCTCTCTCTATTATAGGTTGCCTTGGTCATAGTGTTTTGTCACAGCAATAAAAAAGTAACACAAAGATCTAAGTAGGTTTTTGTGGTTTGCATGAGAAAAGTCCTCCATATAGTCAAGTATTTGGACACTTGGTTCTCCACTGGGTCACACTCAACTGGGTTGGATGATGCAGCCTTGCTGTAGGAAGTATATCACAAGGATTAGGCTTTGATAGTATAGTGCTCCTTACCTGTGAGACATGATCCTTTGGCAAACCACTATCTCCAAAAATATTTACATTACAATTCATAAGAGTAGGGAGTTACAGTTATGAAGTAGCAATGAAATGATTTTATTGTTGGGGTCACCACAACATGAACTGTTAAAGGGTTGCAGTGTTAGGAAGGTTGAGAATCACTGGTGTAGAGTTCAACCTATCCAGTTCACTCTCTGGATAGGATGTGCAAGCTGCTGTTCAGCAGCAAGTGCCAGAAACCACTAAGTGGCAAGTTTGGCTTTGGGCATAAAGTTGTGTAATTCAAATGGTGATTTCTGTACCCCCACCCCCAAACCCCATATCTGGTTGCAATCCTTGTTCTGAGAATGTCCTCTGTGTTGTGTAAACGCTGCTTCCCAATTGTCTCCTGATATGCAAGTTAGGCAGCCTACAGCAAATTGCTGAGCTTGGGAGAGAATAGGGCTGGACACCCTGCTGGGCAGGGGAAGAAGTGTTTTAAAGGAGGAAGAAGAGAATTGAGCCACTGGGAGAGGTCTAGGTGATACCAGGAAAGTAGCTGGAGCAGGAAAAACTACAAAGTACAAGTATCTGTAATGTTTGCTTGGAAGAAGCCAAAGTAGTTTAGAGGGTTAAGAATAGATTTATAACTGCACAGTTATTGTTCTGTGAAGCTTGTTAAAATAATATGAGAGTTTCAATTATTTGTGTGATAGCCAAGTTAAGAGGGAAACTGAAAAACAAACACAGTTTTATAAAAATAACTTTAACATTTGGCTGACTGAACTATGGGCTATAGGTAGGAGGCACAGCCCCATTAAGAGTGACTGGAGGTCTGGGACATGCAAGTTTGGGACAGGCAGACATTTATTACAGATGATGGTTATATTAGAGATGACTTTGCAGATTGAAGCTGATGATGCTCTTGCATATATATCTAGTAGAATACAACAATTTTTAGACATTGTGACACAAAACATGCTACAGGTATATTTTAACAATCCTACAGGTCAAACAATTATGGAAAGATCTAACCGCACTTTAAAGGATATCCTCATAAATCAGAATGGGGATATGGGATCTAGACTAAATAATGCTCTCTTGACTTTAAATTTTTTAAATGTCACTGTAACAGGTAGCACAGAGGACTGCTCAATTAAATCAGTCTATATACTTTAAGAATGTGCTGAACTTCAGAATGGAAATCAGGAAATGTATTGCACTGGGTAAGAGGTTATACCTTTGTTTCAATAGGAAATGAAAAGCTGTGGATTCCTTCAAAGTTAATTAAGATTAGATTTGACTAGGGGACCTCCAGAAAATCTTGGCTGCAGACATGTTAGGAAGAAAACCAGAAGAACAATAAGATAGGTGACATAAATTCTAATTCCTTCTACAGCAGCTCTGAGACTGGCTGAGGATGAATGTTCCTGCAGTAGCCAATAAATATTGTTGGCTACAGAGTCCTCATAACTTATTATTACATGCCATCCTTCGAAATTGGCATGGATGGAGATTTATATTATAGTTTGGTTATGCAGTACAAATGGACTTATAAAGTTTGATACCTTTCACATGCTCAAATATAGATCAGAAAATCTTTAGTTGATTTGTGCACACCACACATACCATGCTGTGTTTATGCAGAAATGTTTGTTACCTTTGAAAGTTCATATTTTCAGAGCAAAAAGACCAGACACCAATGAAGACAAAGCAAGTAGCACAGATGGAGACACCAATGAAGACAAAGCAAGTAGCACAGATGGTCCAGCCTTACAGACTGCCTCAGTTACCATTTCCTAAAATGTTGCATCCTGGACAACTTCCAAGTGGCTAGGTCAAATGTTCCAGCCTCATAGAATACTCCAGTCAGGGCTTCAGTTAAGCCCTGCATTGTTCTTTCACACAGAGACTGGATAGCAATGATACAGCCAGCCCTCCCAGGACTTGACTACTTTCCCAATTTTCTTAGGGCCCCCAAAGATGCCTTTGCCACCAGACCATAGAAAGCAATCTTAAGAGAATGATGCCCTCATTCCCAAGAGGTAGGGTGGTTGGATTTTAGTAGTTTTTTGGTTTATGGATGGTTGTTGTCATTTAGGGGGGTGGTTGCAAATTGTTATTGGTCATGGTCAGGGAGGAACCAAAGTAAAGGAGGTTAGATTAGGGATCTCTTTCTCCCCTCTACCTTTCTTTCCTGTCTACTGGTAGGGGCTGAGAAGGGTGCATAGGGGATGAAAAGACAAAAAGGGGTTATAGAGGGAAAGGGTAGATGATTATATCTACTTTTAGACAAGAGAGTAACTTGTCTAAATATTGTCTAAAAAAACTCAAATATTTTACACTGTTAGGGATTTTTGTATATTGATAGAAATTTAAGGCTAGATTTACTGCAGCATATTGTATGTATATTTTAACTCTTGTTTAAGGTATTGTACATATGCAACTCATTAAAAAACAATGTAAAATTCTAGTCTTTGGAAGCTACTATTGCAATCTGTTTTGGATAAATAGGAAAACAAGTTAATAGTTACCCATAAATAATCAAACTTGTAGTCTTGTTAGGTACTAATTTAATTAATTATAGAAATAAGTTTTATTTTGACTCCTGTACATGTTTTCTGGCACAGCTATACCACTGGAAATGGAGAGAGTCATGAACCCAGCACAGCTGCTCGACACAGTTCCAGCAAAGCTCAGCACAACACTACAACTGCTGTCCTATCTATAACTTTTGATTTCTGGGTTTTGATTTTTGTGTGTTGTATTATTGGGGACTTTTCTACATTATGATTCAATTTCTTTCTCCAAAAAAAAAAAAAAAGTCATGTGTGAGTCTTTTTAAAGGAAAATTCTAAAATTAACTTTATCTGGCCACTATTTGGAAATCTTCCTTATGCACTGGCGATCAATAAGCACAGATAAGCACATAGCTAGATGAGGCCATTACTTCAGGACTCTCCTTGGGGTATCTGCTCTTGAGCTAACTAAAAGAAGCATTATTGGTGCAGGGTAAACAGAGACAGTTGACAAATTCTGACTGGCCAGGAGAATAGGTTACAATTCAAGGCCTCAATTTATTACAGGTTTAGAGCTCTCTGAAAATGTAGTTCAAAGATAGAAGGTCAGACAGGATACATCCCCAGGGGAATAAAATTTAGTAAATAAGCTAGATTGACTAAAATAACTTTTTCTACTTTATAGTGTAGATGATGATACATATAGTAAAAGGAGTTCGATATTAGTACTTGTGATTGATAAAAAGACTGGTTCCGATATTTTCTGTTTGTCTGGAGGGCTTTCAAACAGCAAACATTGCCAGCCAAAAAGTAAGCTGTCATATAAAATATGTGTTTGTTTTGGAAAAGACATTCTTTGGATTCTTTAAATTGGAGTTATAGGGCTAGTACTAATAAAATCTGTTCTGTTTATATTTTCTAATTGTAACTGAACTTGTAACCCTGGACATGTAATGAAAAATCAAACACATTCTCCTTACCACTTGGAAATTCATTAGTCTTTGTTCTGTGAAATTGTGTAAGAAGCACCTGGGTTGCTAGTAAGTCAGAGCCACATAAGCAGCCTGATTGCTTAGACAGTCAAAGCTGCTAAATTCCCCCAACCATCTTCTGACACACTCTCTCCCCTCACGGACTCCTTACTCCCTCTGCAGGCAGCCCTGTTAGCAAAGACCCTCTGACTCTTTGTGTTGGGGAAGCCCCCCCCCCCCACCACCACAGAAGAGCCCAGAAGTTTTCACAGTTAAACAGTAAATAGAAACAAGCAACATTTGTCTGTTTAGATATACTGAGATAGATAGGTGGTCTTCAAACACTTCATAGCTCTACAGAATATGTCCTTTAAGATATTTTAATAATAAAAAGCCTTTTATGACAGTGAGACAGTTCAGGTCCTGGCAGCACCCTCAATCTACTTCAAAGAAGATGCTGAGCACTGAAGAACCTCTTCATGGAGCTTGCTTCAAATGTGGCAAAGTTAGCCACTGGGGGGGGGGGGAATGCTCTTACCTCAACTGCTGACAGCATGCTGTCCAAACTGTGGTCAAGCAGGACATTAGGAAGTAGATTGTCCAACTTTGCCAAGACAAGGTAGGGCAGTCCTTCATAATTCTTGCTTCATAGAAAAGTTTGTCAGATGTTCTGGACCTGTAGGCTGAAGATGGATGCTCCAGTGAAACAGAGGAACCTTGAGTGACTGTCCAGGCAGCCTAAAGTCTGTCATTTCTGTAGTTTTAGAAGCTGCTTGCTCTGCACTTCCTGTTTACTTAGTTAATATTTATCTTTTTAAGGCCTCTCTGTTGGGGTTGAAGTATAGATAGTTTTAGTCTGACATATAAACTTAACTTATTTAAGATTTAAGACAATGTTTTAAGGTCTGAAAGGATTTTTTAGGTTGGTAATGCAAGTTATGAAAGTTAGAGGATACAAAAGCTTGGACAGTGATGGAAAGTGATGAGGAGTCAGGGCTTTGGACTCTCCAAGAAAGCATAGACGACAGAATGCTTTCTCCAAGGCTGCCAAATACAAATGGATTGGACATTGTGAATGTCATTCCTACCTGATAGTTCTCACAATTGTTTTTATTGTATATAGTTTATTCATGTTAGAGAAAAAGCCATTTATTGGACTAAAAGAGGGAGATGTTGGGGTAATTTCTGTACCCTAGTGAAGGGTGTCTCTGTATAGTCAATTGTTGATTGCTAAACTGGCAGAGAGCTGAGTACTGTCTGGATCTTGGTATTGTTATTCTTATGAATCAATACCTGCATCATATTTTGTAAACAGCCATCTTCCCTCACCATTTGACCAGCTTACCTACCTCCCTAGGTGGTTGTAGTCTAGAGAAAGCCCTTTATTGTTAGTCTGTGTTTAGACTCTTACCTTTCAAAATAAATGTACACTTTCACAAGTTAGAGTACTCGATAGGTAGGGCTAAGCCCTTAGGGTTCAATTTACTTTTGTTAGCAGCACAGAGAGGCTTCTTTTTTTGATGCTGTAAAACTCTAACAATTGCAGTTGCTTTCTTCAGACTTGCCTTGTCTGAAGCATTAAAATTTTCTTCACTAAACTGAATTTTTGTTTATCATTCTGGTCTGAATGTAGATCTCAGGACAGCAACCAATAACTTGCCACAGTTGTTACAATGTCTTAAGATTTTCTCTGGCAAACATTTCATTCCATTAATCCCACCAGGTGAGAATAAGATCACCACTACAATTTTGAGCCATATTGAAGCAAGCTTGATTTTATTGTGGTGCACCCAAAAGCTGGCCAGTTACTGCCTCCTAAGTTGGATTAAAGAGAGCAGCCTTCAAATCCATTTCTTGGGCTCCCTTTAAGGAATAAAATCACAAGTAGTTACAATGCACATTTACAGAAGAAAGACAATAGGCCAATTAAAACAAAAAATATTTTAAAAAATCTGCCATGTGGTCGCCATGTGATTAGGCAGGGTCAGGAAGGGTCAGGGAGGGTCTGGTCTTCTCAAAAACAAGAGAAGGTCATGGGTTGGGGCAGGTCAGGCTCCAGGAAACAGACTATAAAACAGCAACTCAGCTCTTACAGTAAAAGGAAACTTATTTTAAATAATACAGCATAATGGCTTCTGCTTTCAAAATGGAGTTAGGCAGGTTCTTCAATTTGTTTTGACTTTTTATTCACATTTTCAGGACCCAGGCAGAAAGTAGCAAAGGCTGGTTTTGTTTTCAAAGAATCCTCATTCCCTCTAAGGCCTTGTGAGTTGGGATTTCACTTGTACCTGTCTTGGCATTCTGATTTTCTGAATCCCCACTAGCTTGACTTCTTCAGCCCTGCCTGTACATGCCCTGTACCTAGTGCTTCTCTAGCAGGAAGCTCCAAGTGCTACCACAGACCAGTTCTGAAGGTCTAGAACCACATGGTGAAATCCATCCAAAAGCTATGTTTCTTGGTATGCACTTTTGACTTACTCTGACAAAATACCTAACAAAGACAACTTACAGGTTTATTTTATTTCACATTTTAAGGATTCAGCCCATCATCCTCGGGAAAGGCATGCAGGCAGAAACAGCTAGCCACATTGTCAGAAAGCAGAAAGATGAATGCTTGTTTTCCACTTTTTTTTTTTTTTTTAAAATCATTTCTGTTCAATCTGGGATTTCAGTTAATGGAATGGTGCTATCCATATTCAGGGTTAATCTCTCTATAGCTTCCATGACCAAAGACACATTTTGGCAATTCCAATGTAGTTGACATGGAAAATTAGCCATCACAGTAGCTATGAGGAAGGTACATTATAAAATATATCAACATTCAGAGGGACTGATAAGATGTACTACTACTAATTAGATGTACTACTACTAATTAGATGTACTACTACTAATTAGATTATATAACAAAAATCTGAGAACCTAAATTCAAATTTATTAAGGGATAACATTGCTTACATGTGAAATGTACTATATTTGTGTCTATGAATACTAAAATAAGGATTCAAAATCACTAAAGCATATTAAGGTCATCTATGGTATGGAAGACAAGAATTATGAGGATAATTAAAAATTATATCTTTAATTACCTACATCAGGTAACAGTTTTGTCCTCCAACCAATTAATCTTGTCCCTAGAGTTGTCTTGCTTGAATTCCAGTCAGTTTTTGTACTTCCTGTCTAAATACTGAAAGCATATGAAACTAGATCACTGGGTTGAATAAAATAGACACTCATGCTGACTTTACTGTTTCAAATGTCATCTCATTTTCTTATGAATGTCATAGTGAGGTAACACAACTGCTCTGAAAGGTCAGACTATCCAAATACCTATGAATTAGGAAAACTTCATTTTCTTTTGTTAAGTCAAAAAATTCATAGATAAAAATCTGCCAATCTCATTTCCAAGCAAAATAACCACCCTTCTCACCTATACACCTATAACAAGTACATTTATTATGTTTGGAAAGGGAAACAAGTGAAGCAACTTAATGCTCATTTAACCAACCTACTAATTAGCTGACACTCATTTCCTGCTGACTGATTTCTAAGATACGCAAAGGTTTTCAGTGAGTGCATGCCCTCCACTTCCACTCCCACATGCACCTGTGGTGTGTGTACCAAAGCTTAATTATGTGGCTGCAATGGGCTGAATATGTCCATCACAAACCTCCAAAATATGATCTTGGAAATAAAATCTTTATTAATGTAATTAAGTTCTGAAAGAAGCCCATGCTGGATGGGGGGGGGGTGTGGACAGTAACTTTACACCCTAAAAAAGAACAGAGACACACGATTAGGATTACATTTCTACAACAAAACAAAAAACGATGAATGAATGGTGCCACCAGAATCTGAGGGTGACCAAAGAACAGAAGGACTTTCCCTAGAGCCTTCAGAGGGAGCATAATCCCATTGATACTGTGGTTTTAGGCTTCACATCAGAAGTAAGAGAAAAGATTTTTGGTGTTCCAAGTAACCCAGTTAACAGTAATTTGTTACAACAGCCCTAGGAGACTATTACAAATTAATTATGCCAGTGGGATATTTTATTATCTTTATTGTATAAGCTATGACTGCAGAGCTGCAGTTTTCTTGACAGCTAAACTGAATACTGTGGATTGACTAGATAAAAAGAGCATTGCCTTTTTAAAATTTGTTTTTTATTATTAGTTACATTTTATTAACTCTGTATCCCAGCTGTATCCTGCTCCCTCATTCCCTCCCAATTCCACCCTCCCTCCCTCCCTCATCTCCTCCCTGTCCCTTTCCAAGTCCACTGATAGGGAAGGACAGCCTCCCCTATCATCTGACCCTGTTTCATCAGGTATCTTCAGGACTGGCTGCAAAGCCCTCCTAGCAGGGCTGCTTCTCCCTTGGGTGGGGAGGTCAAAGAGACTGCCATTGAGTTCATGTCAGAAAGTCTGTTCCCCTTTCTAGGAAAACCCACTTGGTTACTGAGCTACCACGGGCTACACCCGGGCAGAGGTTCTAGGTTATATCTATATACGGTCCTTGTTTGGAGAAACAGTCTTGTAGAAGACCCCTGTGCCCAGATATATTTGGTTCTTATGGAGCTCCTGTCCTCTCCAAGTCATACCAACTCCCCCTTCTTTCATATGATTCTCTGCACTCTGCCCAAGGTTTGGTTATGAGTCTTAGTATCTGCTTTGATACACTGCTAGGTAGAGTCTTTCAGAGGCCCTCTGCGGTAGGCAAGCATTGCCTTTAAACAAAAAGATAAATATTAAAAAAATACTACTGGTTTAATATGAGTAAAACCTTACTACAAATGGGGAAGCATAATAAAATCTACATGAATGTTGCATGTGCTTTTACCAGTCAGGAGTCTTACCGGGAAGGGTCTGTGCAATCGCTACTGGGGAACATAGATGCACCCTGAAAAGTGAGACAAGACCTAGATCCTATGGGAAATATTGACTAATTAAGAGTGTTTGGATTTTAAGTTAAAGTGTGTAAGGCTTTATGATAGCCTGTTTTAAATCACTTTCAAACCAAACAAGAGGGTTTCTAGCACTATTAGAAACAAATTAGTAATATGCAGGGTCAATCAACTTTACATGCATAGGTCATTTATTTCAATTCTTTTAAACTCTGCCTCTTCTTCAGTCTTGACTCTTCAAATGATGATGATTCCGGTGATAATTTTCTGCTGTACAATTTTCTTCTGACACGGCTATACCTGTGCAATCTCAAAGTTTACGTGGTTGAAATCCTGGGCATTTTCGGAAGAGATGCATGTCCCATTCCACAGATATATTTCCTAACATTCCAATATGCGATTTCTTTCTTATTCAATTAGAAATGACATTATCAGTATATCTTATCAAAATTTAAAGATAAGTGTGTCTGTTTGACATCTTTATATGTGTGTGTTTTGTTACAGACCTCAGTCAAGCTTTAGAGAGCCCTTTACCATTCATTTTCTACCATCTCCTGTTTAGCTCTATTGTATAATGTGGCAGAGACACAAAACTATGTTTTAAAAACAAACTACTATTGGATATTGCTGACCCTTGACTGAGTCAGTTCTGCCTTAATGCCCTTCTAATTGAAGAACCAGAGGTAAGCTAGAGACAAGAAATAATTTATTTTTATCTACAGCTTTTCTGAAAAAAAAAAAAAAACAACAAAACAAAATAAACAAACAAAAACAAGATAGAAGAAAGTACCAACTATGTATCAGTTAAAACTTAAAACGAGCATGATCTCTTAAAAAAACAGCAAAAACAAATAAATTAATGGCTGAAAAGTATTAATTAAACAAAACTATATTTTATTAAAATAGTTTATTGCAACAAGTTATGCTCAAAATCAATACAAAGTTATTAAAGTTATTTATAGACAAATGAATAAAACTTGGTAATTATTAATAATTGTGAGTAAACAGCATCAACATAACATTAACCTGTAAATCTATATGTAACTTTCTGAGGGTTGCTAACAAAGCTTTAGAAAATGCTGCAAATAAATATTGAAGAGAAAATAGCAAAGAAAAAGAAAGTTGATCATAGGTGTTAAAATTCACTGATTTCTAGAAGATAAGCCCTCTGTCAAGGTATGTGTGAGACAAATCACGTGTTCCTTCAAAGGGTGACTGAAGAGAATCCGGCTTGCTCTTCTCTACTTCAGGGTCCAGGAAACTTCAGAGTCCACACATCCTAGATCTACTTCTCAACACAGATTTTCCGTCATTATATGTATGAAAGGACACCACATCCCATATGTGTATGCATAAAAATATATGCTTGGTTTTATCAGCTATCCAGGTCATGAGTGATCCTGAAGTAATCTGTACACCAGGGAGATACACCTGCTGAAGTAAGCTGCTGATGAATTAAAAATACAGTAAGGTGCCAAATGAATCTACTTCATTATGAAATGAAGGCTTTGCTTAAGAATATATTTTATTAGGCATTTTGGTTGCAAATTGTCACTTTAGGTATAGATGATTTATTCAGAGTACATTTTAATGTAGATGACTCCCGTTGTGGTTTTTCTTGTAAGAAAACAAATCATTTCTCCAGTTGTTGGGGAGTACTAAATGCTTCATACACATTAGCAGCAAAGTCTTTTACTTGCTCCATCATCAACAGATCCTAGTAAAAATGATACCAACACAGTTTGTAAGAGGTCAGGTGCTGTGGAGGTCATCTCTACAAGCAAGCAGTGCAAACATGAGCGCATGTACATACAGCACACAAACCATGCACACTTTACTGCAAAGGTTCAAAGTCTCCTGATGGTGAATGTAATAAGCCTGAGGAAATCACCTTTTATCTCAACTAACTGAAATCTCATGTTCTCTTTAAGTAGGACCATAGGCCTCACACTGCAGCAGTATTAAATGGGAAAAGGGAATTTGTCTTCAATATAAATCAGACTCTTTAAAAAATTTTCTTATGGCAGCTGTGGAAATTATTAAAACTTCCCTTACATGTTGTCAATTTAGAAAGCAACATTTCTCACTCTTAAATTTAATTTTAAGTGTATTTTGAAAACAACAGAACTTTTCCTTTAGAATGATGGGAAGTGAGCTTAGGAAAGTATGTTTTCATGTCTATGCTTGTTTTCTTGACGCTGCTTCTACACTACAGTGGCCATGCACTTGAAATATCCACAGACCCCTCACCAGGGTAAACTGAAGCCAGTACTTGTGCTTGATGTTTTGTGTGCTTTCTGACACAGGTCTTGCGGGGTAGCCCACACTGGCCTAGACTCACAGCTCCTACAGGGCATGAGTCTCAGTGTTATAGACATGTATCATCACACACAGCTGCTGCTTATACCATTTTACTGTATAAATGAAACATACAAAAACATCTTAAGCTTACAGATTTTCCACAGCTAGAAACCAGAACACAAGCGGGGCACAGTTACAAATCTTGAAATTCCAGGGACTCTGGACACTGACAGAATATTTTTATTCACAGAAATAAATGAACAAAAAGGCAGATTTATCATTACATGGAATCCACTCTGCGAACCCCAACAAACCTTTAGTAATCAAGATGCTGGTTACTAACTCATTGTTCTCGTGTAGGTATGGAGCTGCCTGTGACATTCGTGTGCTTATGCATTCAGTCAGCTTCTACACCTAACTGGCACAGTACTTCATAAAAACATCTGTTCCAGTGCTCTAAAACCATTTGCATTGTGGGAGTAAGTTACCAGATTCGGCCTTCATATGAATGATTTTCCTGTTTTTTTTTAATTTTTTTTTAATTTATTTTTGTTTTGTTTTTCATTGCCCTTGTAGTTTTGTCCTTAATTCAAAAAACACAGTTTAATGCTACATGGGGCCAACAAGAACATGAACAGAATGTTAGATATATGACCTAAATTCAGAGACAATACTATATTATATTTTATTTTGCAATTGAGCCTGCATGGATTTGCATTTTCTATTTCCATAGGAATCAAACTTTTCTCTCAATTTCTTGGACTCCTAAAGTCATGTCTATCAATCCTGAAGAAGCACTGATTAAAAGCATATTTCTTGAGGAGCTAGACTGACTATGTGAAGCTGAACATGTTAATCTTCTCTGTATCGCTCCAATTTTAGTATATGTGCTACTGAAGTGAGCACGAAGCTGAACATGTTATGGGGGAACATAGGCCAGGCTCATGTCCTGGGTCCCATGCTCAAAGAGGCTCGAAACTTTGGCATCATGGATCCATTTGTTGTTTGGTAAAGCCCATGGGCCCTTTATTCAGAATCACGACTACAAATGCAGACAATAAAACTTACTTTTGTTTTGTTTTAATTATTAGTTATACAAGTTTAAATTAAATGCAATGCACAAAATTGCTTAAGCCTTCAAGCTTTTGGCTGCTGTGTGATACTTTGTTGTATTTCTCATGAATTTGTTAAAATGGGTGCCTATATTGGCCATACCAGAGAGGTTGGCAGAAGCAAAACTGTGAGGCTTATAGTTCTGTGACATGCCATCAGCCTCCTTTACTGGTTCTTCTGCAGTGTGAATGGCCAGCTCTTAGCTTTGGGAGGCGTGACTAGAAAGAACAGGGCAGGGCCACCTGGATGCAAAGGACAGGCTAATGACTCAACAGGGCAGGAAGAATAACAACCTTGGGCACTGTGCACTGGCCCAAGAGGGTAGTCTACACAGAAACCACATAAAGTTGTTTCAGGTGATGACACCAGGCAGATACAACACATATATGAAGGCCTCAGGCTCTCTGTATGGCACATCACTGCAGCAGTTAGTTCCTGAGGCATACTGTAAAACATTTTAAACTATAATATAGTTCCCAAGTTTGTCAATGACTGAAAAAGTACATAGATTCAAAGTTATGCTTTTAATAAAATGCCTTCCCGAATAAATTCTGAAGGAAAAAACCAGAGCTGTAAGCAGTTTGGTGAAAACTTTCTGTACCTTATAATTATGCTTTAATGATCAGATTATTGATACAGTATTAACAGCTATTTTATTAGTTATGAAAACGCCTTATTTTACCACTTTTTTTCAGTTTCTTTTAAACTGTGAAGAACTGCATTGTTAATGGAAAGCATAATGCTACATAAATTAGGCCAGTCTTCAGGACATCTGCACCTCAGCGCAGTCTAGAGTCGGACAGCATGAGAAAGGTTGCTAAGAACGTGCTGTCAAGCACTGCTACTCTTGTGGCCATGCTACCACTCTGAATATGGCTGCAAGCTCTGTTTCAAGTAAATTATCACGGCAGGGAAAGTATTTTTGTTTTGGAAACAACAACAGCATGAACACAGCTAGTTTTCAATACTCCCAACCTTCTCACTTACCTGCACAAAATGACTAGGTGTTTCACTGCAAACTGAATGGATCTGTCCGTTTACTATGGGAATTATCTTAGCTAAAGGCAGGCTGACACTGGACAGACTGAAAACAAATTACCATAGCAGTTACTTTCTGAAATTATACCACAGGCATTTAACATCCTAATTATAAAACTATATACATATTATTGAAGAATACGTATAGAAACGTATTAATAGAAAACTGAAACATAACTTCCCCATCTAAAAATAACTACTATAGTTGACATAGATATTTTATTCTGGCAATTTTTATACATTTTTATTCCTTTCAACTTAAAACTTGAACAACCATATTGTTGTTATAAATAGTTTTCATAGTTTCTATATCTCTGAATGTTGTTTTCAATGATTAGGTGGTAGTTCACAGGAGTTATCACAATGTCACCAGCTTCCTACAACCAGCACTGACATTTTTGCCCTAGTTTTCTTACTATTTAAGTGTCTGTCTAAAAAGAATTTCCAGGTCAAAGGGTATGAATGTAAGGTCTGCAATATCCAGTGCCAGATGCCTCCGGTCCTTATCAGTGTGAGAATTCCTGCACCATTGTGCCCTCTTCCACATCACACACTGTTTTCCTTTCATCTCTGTCTGCCTGATTGGAGGTAATGTTTTACGTCATTATTCTGTTAATTATCAGTCCATTATCTGCTCTGGTTATCTTTACTGGACAACACTAATATCAATAAAACTGTCTATAGTCTCCCATGGGGTTTCAACAGTATTTTAACAGTATTTTAATTTATAGATAAATTTTAGGAGAAGAATTTAACTTTTTTAGTTAACTTTTTTAGTTAATTTTCCTGAGTTTCTAAGTATGAAGTTCTGTGCTGCATAAGATACATTTTTTCCATTAAAAATGACCTTAAATTTTGTAACTATATACTTCACTTAGAAAATTAGAGTCAATTAACAGTTTATTAGTTGTCTGTCTTAAAGACAAGTACAAGAAAATTCAATGGTGCTCCTAAATACTGGTCTTAAAAATGAGCCTTGTCTTAGTCTTTTTTATATTTATTGAATAAGAAAAATGCTGAATGTCCCAATACACATGACCTTAGTGCTGTTCTGAATTTAGTAAATAATCAAGCTGTTTCATTGATAAGTATATTTGATTTCAATTTTTATTGTATCTTTTATTTATAATAATATGCAGTATATTTCTTATTCTATGCCTTTTCAACAACAGAAGAGATTTTTGTCCTGCTGATGTATTTTTATTATTTATTTATTATGCACATATGCATGTGTATGTGTGTCTGTGTGTGAGTACATAATGCAATGTCTGAGTAGAACCCAGAGGAATCAATTTTTTCCTCATACCATGTAGGTCACAAGGATCGAACTTGGGTCAGCAGTTTTGGCAGCAGGCTGCTTTACCTACAGAGCCATCCTACAAGCCTTGTTTTATTAACATATTGTAATTTCACTGTAATAGTTTTACTAATATTTTAACCCATTTTTCATTCTTAATATTATTCGTAATTAGTAATATTCTTAATATTATTCATAATTAGTAATAATGCTGAGGTATAACTAAAATTCTATATTCTGGTATCAGTCAGAAGTTATTGACCATTCAGCTTTCCTAGCCTATAGACCTAAAATCATTTAATCTCTTTCTTACTCTAATAGCTAAAACATGAGAAAAATCCTAAGGTTACTTTAAGAGTCCTCTAAGGTGGGAGCTGGAGAGACAGCTCCGAAGTTAAAAGCACTGACGGTTCTTGCAGAGGACCGGGATTCAATTCCCAGCATCCCTGTCAGGCAGCTCACAACTATCTCTAACTTTAGTTCTGAGAGTTCTGATGGCCTCTTCTGGCCTCCTCAAGCACTACCACATGTACGGCATATACTCTCTTACACACACATAGACATAATGAAAAGATAAAATTTTCTACGAAACATGTTTTAAAATGAAAAGAATGACATTGGCGGTGACATGAAACAAACATTTGACCTCATACACTGACCTGCACCACAACTACATCAACTCCTGATCAGCCACCCTTCTGAACTCCTAGTGAGCTGCTCTTTACTACCAACACTTGCCACATTCAATTGGACCTTTCCTTCTCAGTTACATTCTGAGTCTCCCTTTAATGGCCTGTGTTCTTTCATATCTCTTACCAATGGCACATGTTCCCCATCTCTGGTTTTCTATTTCATATCTATAACCAACTTTATGCTTCAACACTTTTAGAAACATTTCTTCATGCTGTCGGTCATCACTGTTATACCACACAGTATGGAGGTTCCAGCCATCATAGCTATTCAAGAAAAAAAATAACTGAAGGCCAAGGAGATAGCTCAGCGAGAAAAGGTATCTGCTGCCAACCCCATCAACCCAAGTCTGATTTCCAGTACCCACATTATAGGAAAGAATCAGCTCCTGAAAGCTGCCCTCTGTCTCTGTCTCATACACACATATATGCACATGCACACACAAATTAATTGTAAAAATTATTATTTTTTTTTTGAAGCAGGGTCTTACTATGTATCCTTAGCTGGATTAGGGCTATTGCAATTCTGGACCCAACTATTACAAGTCTTTATCACCACTTGGGGAATAACTAGTACTTTGCTAAGTACAGGTTATACTGGAAATTCATTAATAGGAGTATCTTGACTACAGAGAATATATAAGATTTGTCTTCAGCTGATATTTATTTTAAGGTTAGTAACCCTTGCCAGGTGTGGTGGTGCACCCTTGTAATCCCAGCACTTGGGGAGGTAGAGGCAGACAGGTCTCTGTGAGTTCAAGGGCACCCTGGTCTACAAAGCAAGTCCAGGACAGCCAGTGCTACACAGAGAAACCCTGTCTCAATTAAAATAAAAAAAAAAAAGCAAACTTTACTACTAAGAGCATTCCAAATGCTCCCCATTAATGACAAATTATCCTTTCCTGTACAATAAAGAAGGGTCCTCAAGAACCAGACAAAAATGCCTTGCTAGGCCTACGGTAAGAACTCTATTAGAAACCCCCATCTACATTATATACATGCCAGTTACTGTGTCCTCAACATTTAACAGGTGTTTCCAATTCATCAGCCCTGATTTCGTCCTCCACTAGTGTTCAAGAATGACAGAAAACCAAAGGTTCTTAACAAGGATCTGATAAAAGCAAGGATCTTCATCCCATAGTGATAGACACAATAAAACCACAATATAACTTCCAACAACACAAGTCTATTATGTAGTAATAGTCAGAACTGACAAACATTACTAATAATTGAACCAACTATGTAGTTCCCAATTCTATAACAACATAACATGAATATATTTAAGCATTTCTAGAAATAATTATTGGGATATAAGTGAAATATGACTATAAGGAATTCATCAAATAAGAGTCTATAAGCCTGGTTATTACCATGATCAGACCACTGAATTAATACAGGACAGTAATGACTACATTATCAGCTTTTTCATTCTAAAGAATTTAAAAAATGGATTTTGACTTAATAAAAAGGTAGCTTCACAATGCAAATACCTCATTGTAGTAGCAAAGGTGTGGGGAGAAAAAAAAATGCAAGTTTTATTTTTAAAACCAGAAGTAATTTCTGCCAATGCAGAAGTCTTCATGAGAGAAGACTTAATTGGTTAGAAGAGTTTAATTTGCTGAAAAATCAGGGTACAGTTTATCACCTGAAATTTCTGCTTATTTGGTACAAAAATTTAAACACATTGGAAGCATAACATTTTAAGAGCATGTGTTCATATTATACTGTTTTCATATGGCATTTTACCTGTTTATGGAGTTTCCATGTTGTAGGTCCTGTTCAGTGGGCCGAAAGAATTCTGCCATGTTGTCTAGAAGCCGACTGAAGCCTCTGTTTAAACAGGTATTCAAAACTGTACTAAAATCTGGACTAGATAAAATAGTTAGCATATTATTTTCGAGATTCCCAGTGCACAAAAGCAAACCAAAACAAAACTCAAAAAACTTAAAACTAACACATTCAATAACTATGTGGTTGCCTTTGAAATTGTTAACATCTCTAGTTACAATCTAGTTTTCATAGCATGAAAAACTGTCTAAATTTATCAAAGTCAGTTTTTCAAAATTAACCATAAAAAATCAGTTGTATTGTTTAGCTTGACACGATGAGACTAATATGCATTTTGTACAATGTATTTTTTAAAATGTCAGCTGGCAAGAATGCAAACAAATCCAACCACTATAGAAATCAGTATACAGGGACCTCAAAAACTGAAAGCACACCCATCATATGATCCAGCTATGCCACCCCTGAGTTTTTACCCAAAGGGTCCAAGTCAGCATGTCACAGAGGTACTTGCACACTGGTGTTCACTACAGCACTATTTACAATGGCTCAGTGATGCAACCAAACCTAGGTATCCATCAACAGAGGAATGAATACAGAATATGTGGCATATGTACAGAGGAGCACATTACACTCTTCTAACAAACTGACTTCTCCATAATAGAATATGTCTCAGCCATAGAATAAAGTTGCAATATCTGAAGGAAAATGGATACAACTGGAGAGAATCATGTTAAATAAATTAAGTCAGTCTTAGGAAGACAAGTAGGCCATTCTTCTCATTTGTGGGTCTTATATTTTAAGTTCATTCATAAAATTATATATGTGTATATATATATATATATGACATCATATATGTCATATATATGACTTTATATATATATATATATAATATAAATATATGTCATGAAAAAAGAAGCAAAGCTGTATTGGTTGGGGAGAAGGGTGGTAAGGAAGAGGGTATTAAGGAATTGGGTAATAAAGAAGAACAGATAACAGGGGTAATAAAGGAGTGGGCAGCAAGGAATGGGGGATTTACTTGAAATATACAATAAGCTTACATGAAAATGGCATGTAACATATTTAAAAAAACAACAATTCTGCTTCCTTCTGCTTTAGATAGAAAATCCTACCTACAGGAGGGGAATAGATTAAAATTTTAATTTTCACATAATATTACATTGAATATTTGCTCAGAAAACAGTAGAAAATTGTCTTATTTACATTAAAAATACAGACATTTATATGCACTATACATACCTTTCCAGCATGTCTCTTGTCTCATTGAGAAGTTTAATAGTGGTAATATCTCTGGGAGAAAGCCCATAAGCCTATAAAATCAGAAAATTATACTTCAGAGTTTCAAATACTATAAAGCCATGAAGAAAGTAATCATATTAAAAACTCACCAGTTTGGAAAATCTGAATGTCTTTGCTTTGGCAACAACCCAAATTGTCAAATTAAAACAAATAAACTATATATATTGGCTTATATAAGCATGTAGGTAGTACTTAAACATGAATTGGAGTATACTTTGTAAGACTTAATGTATTTATTTAGTATGTATACAGTGTTCTGCCTGCACATACATCTGTATGCCAGAAGAGGGCACCAGCTCTCATTATAGATGGTTGTGAGCCACCATGTGGTTGCTGGGAATTGAACTCAGGACCTCTGGAAGAACAGCCCTTGCTCTTAACCTCTGAGCCATCTCTCCAGCCCAAGACTTTTATTTATTTGGTCTGCTTTGGATGTTTCTAGCATCCATAGACAAAGAAAAATAACAGATGTTAAGACTAACAGGGGCCAGAGTGCTGACTCAGTGGGTAAGAGAACTTGCTCTACAAGCCTGCTGACCTGGGTGCACATCAGCAATGTTCATGTGAAAAGCCAGGTATGGCTATATGTGCCTATAACCCTAGCACTGAGGAGCAGAGACTAGTGGAAATCACAACTCGCTGGCCAGCTAGTCTAGACAAAATGTCATGCTCCAGGTTCAAGACAGTACAGATCAGAGCAACAGAGAAAGACATACCTGCTCTCTTCTATGTTTGGGCACTGGTACATTCAGCTACACACTTATATGGATGCTCCATACACCTCCACTGCACACACAGCACAGACCAGCATGCACCAAACAAAAAGTGCTTCTTTTCTCGTACTACTGAGAAATTTTATTAGGCTATATGAGGTTTTTCTTTTTTCTTCCCTATTTTTCTCCATTTCTTTCTTTTTATTCAAATTATTGTGAGGCTCCAGATGTTCTTTTTACCTTAGTTTTCGTCTTAATATCTTTTCATGATTAGACAAGGAAAAAAAAAAAAAGAAGAAGAAAGGAAGGAAAGCAAAGAAAGAAAAGCTGTAGTCCATAAAGGGAGTCTTATGAGTTGAAACATTTAAACTAAACTCAGTAAGGAAGACAGGTGAGACAAAATTAATAAAAGAGCTAGCTGTGATGGTATACTTGGGACTCAGGCAGATCAATAAGCTTCCGGCCAGCAAAGAATGGATTCAGTTGAGTCTATAAATAATTATAATATAAAAAAAGCCACTAATTTAAAAATTAGTTATTTAACCTGAATATATGACCAAAACCCTTTGGCATCTGTATTCTTAATGAGAAACTTCTCTAACAATCAATCAGGGCACACTATGGTATAGTGACACCAGAACTGGTGTGAGGGCAGGCCTGTTTGCTAGAGCTTCCTCAGATTATTGACCAATAGTCACTATTCATTATTTACAAAACAGATTTTATTTTTAGTGTGTGTGTGTGTGTGTGTGTGTGTGTATGGTGTGTTCTTGTGCATGTAAGTGCAGGTGCTTGAGAAGGCCAGAAAAGAGAAACAGATATGGAGCTGGAGTTCCAAGTGGCTTTGGACTACCTACACTGAATTTAGATCTTTTACAAGATTGTTAACTGCTCTTAACTGCTGAGCCATTTCTTTAGCTTCAACTATTCTTTTTAACTCCTTTTTTTCCTTATAATTTTTTAATTTATAATTACACAATTTCTCCCTTCTTTTGAAAATTTCTTCCAACTCTTCCCATGTGTCCTTCCTGCCTTGTTCCCATTCAAATTCATGGCCTCTTTTCCCCCTTGTTGTTATGTGTGACACATACTCATGTAACAATAATTAAAAAAGATGCCATGAATTTAAGCAATTTGAATGTAGCCCTAGTTTCACTAAATTTTAGTTCTGTAAAATGTGAAGAATTTTTATCTAGATACACAAAGCTCTTCATGATCTTGTCTCCAGTATGACTTTCCTCTGTGTTCTGTTTGATCTTAAACACTACTTGCCATTCTAACTGCATTTGTCTCTTAAGTTCACAATACAATGAACTTCTATTCTCCTTTTTATTCACAACATATACCACAGTGCTTGAAACTTAACATGACTCAATAAAAATTTGCTAAATACCCAAGATTATAAATGCTAAGATAAATTATATTTATGGTTTTCTACCGTATAAAGCTTTATTTCAATTGCTAAAATACAAGACTCGGATATCTATATTTCAAGAGAGAATAACAGATTTAAAAATATGGAGTTCGAAAATTAGAAGTGGTTATGAATTAAGTACCTGAGCTGCTAATGGTGTTTCCTCATCTGGCATCATGTATTGGCACAGTGAAGACTTGGATACATCTTTGTTAGTCCAAGAAGAAGACCTTTGCTGTTCAACAAGAATTCTGATTTCTTTTAGTTTTTGCTCCAAGTCCAAAAGAGACAAGGAATGTTTAAGAGAAATACTAGAAATAGAAAAAAAAAAAAAAAAAAAAAGTCATATGAACTGAAATGACACAACACCCGCCATAGCACTCATTTCCTAATAAAAGCTGAAAGTCTATCCCATTTGTTCTAACCTAAAGCTAACCTGAAGCTGCTGGACTGGAATGGTGGGAGCCAGCCACTAGATAAGGACCATTACTACAGAGCCACAGTAAGCCTTCACACAGATTTCACAAGAGAAGCCTGTCATAATTATAAATCTCATTGGTGTAAGGGGCAGGTAGACAGATTTTGGAGAAATATTTTTTTCTTAATCTCATGGCTCACATATTTCTAATTTGTTTGGAAATCAATCAATAAATAGTAAAATCTGAAGAATATCCTCCAGTATGAAAAGGCTGACACTGATAAAGTAGATCTGTAACAAATACAGATTGGTGTCTCTATCAGATTACAAAGAATTTTACAAATTATTTACCCAGCAAAGTCACTCAATTCATTAGGATAGTTCTATCTTCCATCCCCTTTAGTCTGCAGTACTGAGGTATGAATATAAGACCTCAAGCACACAAAGCAAATCTCTACATATGCCCACCCTAGACCTTTTTTTTTTTCTTTTTCTGTTTTAAATTTGGAGACAGAGTCCACTAAGCTGTCTAGGCAGGCCTTATCTGTCAGGTAAAGATTGAATTTGAGACTCTCTTGCCTCAGCCTCCTGGGTAACTGGGATGACAGAACTGTGCTACCATGATTAGCTCTAACTTTTATTTTATTCACCAGAATCAGGAAGTTAGAAAAGTCAAAGGAAAAATGACATACCTTCCTAAAATCCTCTGTACAGCATGTTTAATGACAGTGACCAATTCTGTCAGGCCTATTAAAGGAAAAATAAAATTAAAAGGAAAACAGGGCCTTGTTCACTGAAAGCTTTCTTCAGTACACACTGCAGACTGGAATCTTACCATCTCCAAGGAGGTGCTGAATACTTGATAGATACTGCTGCTGTACATCTGGGGGAGCAAGAACAGTCTGCACAGAAGAGACACAGAGTTAAGGGAACTTTTAAAGGGAATGAAAGCTTTGTAAGAGAAAACATTCTTAATGTGTCAAAAAGTCTACTTTCAAAGACAACAATCATAACGCTACAAATTCAACCATTAATGTAAAAGTCCATTTCTCAGAGCAGATTAACAGGTGAATATAGTCAGGGTAAGTAATATTCAGTTATACTTTGAACCTCTTAAAAGAAAAAGCAGTGTACGCAGAAGTCTGTTACACTTACAGTGCCATTTTTGCCAACTGTTGCATTATCCAGGTAAATATATCCACCAATTATGTTTAACTGGACTCGCAAAAGAACCACCAGCATACACGTGCTATATACAGCTACAATACTTCTTGTGAAACCTTCAGAGAGAAAAGAAACCCTTTGGCATTGTTACTAAAACACCAATAAAATGTACAAAATAACGACTATTCCTTTGATACTTTTTAATATGTTGACTTTGGCAAATAATTGTAAATGGATCAAGCACAAAAATATACCAACTTAGAACACTTCATATTTATTGTGTCTCTTTATAACCTACATAGAATAGTTTATGTCCCCCTCCATAGCCCTTTGTTTTAGGCAGGGTCTTACTATGTAGCCCAGATAGGCCTCAAACTCAGGACTCTCTTGTCTCAACCTCCTGAGTGCTGGGATTGCAGGCTGGTATCATCAAGCTTGTCTGGGTATGCTTTCTCAATTGAAGTACTACCCATAAATATGTATTGGGTGAAAGAATTATGTTAGAAGCTGGGAAGGGAAAGCAATGTATCTCTGGTGGTGTATGCCTGCCTAGTGCTCATGAGGCCTGGGATCCAACTCCAGTATGGGCGAGGGAATGGCACAAGGTGAAGTGAGACCTGAGTAAACTGTGTTCTCAGAGCTCAGATATCCAGAGAGCTCGCTTAGACTTAAAGAGGCTGGAGCAGGGAAGAACTCCCGCTTTTAGTGACAGGTAAAGGTAAAGACCAGTAGGGATCAGGATAAGATATAGAGGACAAAGAAATGGGAGGACTTCACCTCCCAGCAGCACACCACAGTGTTTGGGACAGAGAAGGGAGGATGGGTGTCCACTTGTTGCCAAAAGGTGTGACAAGTTGAAAAAGACCCAGTGGATTAAAAAACACAGAGATTATTTCTGGTTCCTATGAGGACTGCTTGGGAAGAAATGACAGCAGAAACTAGGGTGTAGTATCAACTGAGTAGGAGTGAAGAAATGAAAAAGAGAATTTAGAAATAGCTTATAAGAAAGGGCAACAGCCGAAAAGAAATACAGGACACTCAAGAAGTTTAGTCTGTGTCCCAATAGGAGGACTTAGGTATAAGTCAGTAAATATGTTAGCTAAAATGGATGAAAAAACAGGAAAGCTTGTTGGTATGAAGTTTTGAGACATATATACAAGGTTTAGGAATGTTCTTTGATTCAAATCTTTATCACTAATGAAATATTGTGTATAATATCAAATTAAAGTTGGATTTATTTGGATTGGATAAAATACCTTTAAAATACAATATTGAAAATATAATACCTAACATAAACACATACAGTGTACTACAGTTTTTATACTATATGTTAGAACAACAATATCACTGCCATCATCATCATCATCATTCACTAAGTACTGTCTAGAAACAGACACTAACCTTCTGCTTTATATTTATATTTAAACCTGACTATTCTATGTGGTTGGAAGAAAAGAATCATGTACATACTATGGTACAAAAAGTTCCTGTTATAAATAGCTTAAAGCTGTCCTGTCACATAAAGTATGCAGGCTTACTTATTATCTTTAGATCTTCCCATATTTCCAGCTTGTTTGAAGGCCTAAAGAAAAAAAAATCAGAAAATACAAAAATAATAATCAAGTATAACAAACTAAATAGAGCTATATTGCTTTAAAAAATTAAAGCAACACACAAATACTGAAGAAATAAAGTCCACAAGATAACAAAAAAAAGTGTAATTATTTTAAGCAATTCTCTTGATGTATACTACTTTACTAGTATACATTCTTCAAATCCTTTGGCCTCTTTCTGAGCATATACATACACATACCCAAACAGTAAAGGAAGCCAGGAAAGGCTTCTTCCTTCTGCTTATTATCCTGTATATAACCAAGGAGATCAGGATAGATATCCTGAGATCATTGAAAGGTCAATAATACTTTTTTTGTTGCTTCACAGTATCACTATAAGCATATAAATTGACACATATACTTGCTGGGAAACAAACGGAAGGTATTCTCCCTCTTGCTGTTCAAATGACCATTGGAGGGCTACTTTGGTTGGTTTTTAAATCTTTAATTTTTAAAAAGAAAAACTTTTCTGAATTGATCCTGTTCTAAGGCTGAAGCATATCTGAAACTATCCATTTCTTTCCTGGTGGTGGGAAATCTTGGAGACCACAGCCTTTGATGTCCACTGCTTCTGGGCCTTGTACTATTTCTAATCATTTTCAGTGAGCTAAGCTGAAGCTATGGCTTGACTTACTACAGTCTCAGAGGACTGTATATTAAAGTCTTGGTAACCAGGATGACAGGACTAGGAGGCAGTAGGACCTTTAAGTGTTGGAAGCTACTGGGGAGAGGGGGGGTGTTCTAGGTTGATAAGGACACGCCTGCCAAGGAATTTGGAGACCTGGACCATCTACTATCATTTTTCTTGCTTCTTGGCCAATAGGTGGCAGCTTGTTCCACTATGCCTGGCTCACAATTGCCATCAGAAACCCAGTGCAACATGTCTGCCTGATCTAAACTGCAAACTTCAAAATTACAAAACAAAATAACCCCTTTGCTGGCCTTTTAGTAGAAGGGAAAACAGACTAACAAGCTGTTAGAGATGTATATATTACTTATATGCTCACATTTAAAGATAAGCTATACAAACTTATACTGATAGTTTAGTTCAAAGCCAGCATTTAGGATTTTAGTTCATCTTTGTTGATCTTATATGTTATTTAATTTTGCCCACACTAGAAATCAGTGAAAACAACATAGTTATTAGTCTGTTTCACCCTTCAGTTCAAGCATAGTAGTCTTAAAATAGTTCTGTAATATTTAAAAGGGGTTACAGCTTTTAAATCCTATGTATAAGGAGTATTTATTCCACTAATTAAGTTTCTGATTTAGCCAGGCATGGTGGCACACACCTTTAATCCCAGCATTTGGGAGGCAGAGGCAGGCAGATTTCTGAGTTCAAGGCCAGCCTGGTCTATAAAGCAAGTTCCAGGACAGCCAGGACTACACATACAATTCATTTATTTTACTATAAATATTTTATTTACTATAAATATTTTACTATAAATATTTAAAAGTGGTAACTTTTAACAATTAAATATGGTTTTATAATTACATAAACTATCTACACAGCTATAAAGCCAAATTGATATAATCTTGTATATTGAACATCATGTTTCCCTATTCACGGATTATTTAAATATGCTTTCCCCTCTGTTGTATTGCTTTCTATTAGCATGTATGTATTATTCAATATATTTAAAACTGTTCCTTAAATAAATGCAGACATACTACAGAAGTTTTAATCACTAAGAAAGAAGGTAGCAATGTATCCAGGAGATTAGTACATAGTAGCACAAGGCATTACTCATTTAAAAACATACTTATGGGCCAGCAAAATGCTTCAGTGGGTGTTAAGTGCCTATTGCTAAGTTTGATGATCTTGAACTCCTTCTCAGGACCAACATGGTGAAGGGAAAGAGCCAACCCCAGAAAATTACCCTACTACTTTCACACACAAAATAAATAAATACAACAAATCCCTCCCCCTATAAAAAGAGGGTGGCATGGTGGTGGTGGCAAAGGCAGAGGCAGGCTGGTCTCTGTGAATTCAAGGCCAGCCTGGTCTACAGAGTGAGTTCCAGGACAGCCAGGACTACACTCAGAGAACCCCGTCTTGAGATACCAAAAGAATAAAAAACACAAATAAATAAATACAGTGCACTAAAAATAATACAAAGTATTTTAAGTGCAGTGTAGTATTGGACTGTGTGAATGCACTATGTAGACATAACGCAGTGCTTTCCAGAGCACCTGTGTTAAAGGATAAGTATTAAAGGATTAAGCATTTTTGCTATTTTCAATTTGTCATATTTTTATAAAATATAATAAATATTTACTAGAACACAACAAAGATACAAAATACAGGCCAATCACCCTTATTATAAAGAGGCATAAATATGTGTTTCAGTGAGAAACTGAGTTATGGGGTTAGAGAGATGGCTCAAAGATTAAGAGAACATGCTCTTTTGGAGTGGCTGAACCTGGCTCCTGGCACCTCGGGGTGGCTCACATTGCCTGTAACTGCAGCTGCACTGATGCCTTTGCATTGGTACTCATGTGCACACATATGTAATTAAGTAATAAAATAAAATTTCAGGGTTATTATTACAATAAAGCTGAGCTGTTATTACAAGATAGGAAGGCCTTAGTAGAAACAATCTGTAAAAGGAACTGAAGCATGGGAACTGAAACTGCACTCGCTAAACCTTATGCCACATGGAGAACTTTGGTGGGTGAGAACAGAGTGAGCAACCCAGGAAGCACTCTGTACTGACAATCATCATAATCAGACTGCACCAGACTGCACAAGTTGGTACAGGATCACAAAATAAAGAAAATAAAAACACACATAATTATCTTTTTAGGAAATTCTGATTTCAAATCATTTAGGACAGGCAAAGTACTACCCATGTAGATTCTCTTCAAAGGAGTCTTCAAGTGACATCTACACCAAGTTGAAGACAAGTTGAAGACTATTTAGTGTCACTAAAATAAGTATTTACCTAAAGCTTAGATCAAAGTTTGCCAAGTACTCTGCTGCTTGTGATGAGGGCGTTTAAGATTCTTGGCCAGATACCCAATGATGGTGCTTTATTGCTATCATGCACCTGCCAAGACAAGGCTATCAGATCATTTGTTTATCCCTCATCAGTTATGAACAAATAATTTTTTAAAAAAAGGCAACTTGCTTGGCAGGTTATATGAGAGCAGAGTTGACTGGATTCTAACGTAAAGGCAATTATCAAGCTGTAGATCTTGTTATTCTGTACTATACAAATGCTTTTCAAATGGACACCTTCAAATTGCAAAAAAGTAAGTACAAAGCAAAAGAAAAGAGGGAAAATAACATATGTATGTAAATATGAGCAGTTAGTGAGAAGAACCACAACTCATCTTAAAGTCTGGAATTTCAGAAATTTACCTTCTTGTGTATTGAGTATTTTGCAACATCTTTGTCTAAACTCCCATTTTCTCCTTTAATTTTGTTTTACCATGGAATTAACATGTTTTGAATTGTACTATGTTTAACCCATTTCCTCCTCTGGCTGTTAATTCACTGCTTTAAAATTAAAGATATTTTATTAGGTTTTGATTTGTCTGTTTCCTGGTGTTGCGAATGAGTATGTTAAGTGCAGGCTCTATCACGGCACATCCAAGCCCTATCTTAATTAGTGAGAATCCTTCTAAGCATTTAGAAAGGAGAACTTTGTAGGCTTGAGAGGTTTGCTAAGGAGGAGGAAAGCCACCATGTTCAACCTGTTTGAGTACGAAGTTTCTGTTTGCAAAATGCAGATGATAACATCTGCCTCACAAAGATATTGTGATAACTGCACGAGAGCATGCATGTATGGAAGGTGCCTAGCACCAGGGTTGTCACAGATCCTGGAAACAGTGATTCTTTCCCTCTTGCCACTCGAGGCTTATTACAGTCAAGCAGACATTTCAGTAAAACCATGTGACCAAGATTGATGGTCTTCTGGGTATGTTCCTTATCTGTCTCTCTCTTCTCTTTCTTCTTTCCCTTCCTCTCCCTCCTTTCTCTTTTCTCCCTCCCTCTCTCCTTCCAGCCATAAAATTTACATAGTGTAACAACCACTGCCCATATTTTGCTCATCAAACGAAGTAGCCATTTGCTTTTACTACTCTCCTTAAACTAACACGGAATCATACTAATTTCCAATGCCTATGTGCTGGCCGAACACCACACATGAGGCCAATATGTGGGCAGTGCTTTCTGACCTGCCATGATAATTTATCAGTATTACACGTTCATGTTATATTTGTATACCATTTTGTCATTTACTTATAATTTTATGTGCCTTATCTAAAACATTCTCCCACATTGCTAGCACTCTGAGAAGTACAATATTGAACATAATTTTATTAGCCTTACATTTCTGGTGTAGAGTTATATTCTAATAAGTAAACTGCTGGATAATGTAAAAATGAGAAAAATATTCATATATAGACAAAATACATATTATTGTCCCATATGACATGTATATATAAAATACCTATATACAAAATACATATATATAATTTATATAAAATTGAATATGGATTAAGTGATATATGCAATTATATTTTTAAACTGAGACTATGTATTTTAAGTTTTATTTAAAAAATAAGGAAACAAGTATGTATTGAAAGTATTTAGTTCTTTCTATAAACTTTGATTGCATTCCAATATGACAAAGAACATAACATGCTTTTACCTGTTTTTCAACAAAGCTGTTAGACTCTCAGAATTCAGTTGCTGCATTAAGGCCTCTCTCAGTGTTGGCAGCATGGACAGCACTGTATCACAAACAGAAAATAAAGATATTCACAAATGGCATGAACACATTCATTTATATCTTCATATTGTCTTAGGTTATATAATAATAGTAGCAACTAGCAAGAGTTGAGAACTGTCCACGGTAGAGAATTCCAATTATTATTATTAATTACATAAACAATTACATGCTAATAAACCATGCATTTGCTTGTTACCACACAATAATGATTATTATATTATAATCAGAGCAATGTAAACAAGAACACACAGAAGACAGGGTGGAAGGAATTGTTCCACCTCTTAACAGTGAGGCTCCTTAAACTATGGCTTATGGATAACTGCTTTTCCTTATTTTCTATGCTCTCCAAAATTTTCAATGCAAACTTATTTCTGATATAACAAAAATGACCAAAGCCAATATTTTTATGGTTATCAACTTCTGTCTCACATTTCTAACTCTAGAAAAATATTACTTATTAAATACTACAAGACCATGTTTTATTATAAAAGACACAAGTGTATTCATCTAAGCTCTGAGTGATCCCAGGTTTCAGTTTGTATTCTGCTAATGGCTGTGGCATTATCTATCACTCTCAGGAATATGACGATAAGAGGAGGTATAGTATTCTATGGGGAAAGTGTGCATCTGTAATGACAGTGCATGGGCATGGGATACAAGGCACATACCTAAACATAGTAAAGGCAATATACAGCAAACCTATAGCCAACATCAAACTCAATGGAGAGAAACTTAAATCAATCCCACTGAAATCAGGACAAGACAAGGCTGCCCACTCTCTCCATACCTCCTCAACATAGTACTTGAAGTCCTAGCCAGAGCAATAAGACAACTAAAGGAGATCAAGGGGATAAAAAAAAATCCTGTTTCTTAATGTAATAGTTGAACATCCTCAGATATTAGACCTGATTCTTCATGTTACTAAGGAAAAAGTGCAGGTTACCTTACAAATAAAAAGCAAGGCCCCACCTTACATCCACCTCTGAAGTAAGTCATTTTACAGGAAGAGCTGAGGTTTAAGTTAGCGAAAAGAACACATAATACAATCACACTACAAACTAGAGTGGATCAGCCTCTCCCTAGAGCCTCTGTTGTCCTCGCTGTGCACATGCCCATGCCCATGCACTGTCATTACAGATGCTGTTTCTGACTGGGATTTCACAGAATACAGGCATCCACCTGGGTCTGGTTACTTCAAATATAAAACTCACACATAGCTGTGAGCTAACATTAAAGATGCTGCCAGACTTTATAAACTCTATTCTTTCTGATCTTAGCTTCTCCATCTGTAAAATGAGGCAAATGACCTAGTAATAAAGTCCTTTCAAGTCTAGAGAAAAATTCTACTTGTAAAGCTGAACACGAGACACTTAGCTTTGTAAATTCCTTCTAAATTAAGTATCCCTGAAAGAAATGTAGGGGTAAAAGAAGCTTTAAACAGAGAAAAGAAGAGGCTTGGCATAGATTTGAAAACTATTTTTCAAGCCATTTTACTATTTTTACACCAGTTAGAACCTAACTCCTTGTTCTCGTCAAACATGAGCAGGCTGATTGCATTGTGGCTTTTTCCCAGTAGGCTTCTGGCTCTGGTAGTTACATTACTGCCATTAATTAAGTGATTGAGCAGACGCTGTTGTGTAATACTTGCATCCTACAGTCTCCTGCTGTAATATAACAGACTTATGACTCTTCACTGTGACCTACAGGGCCATGTGGTCAGGCCTATCTCCACACTTCATTTCCTAGCACTCCTTCATTCCTCTCTAGCTGTGTGCTCTTTCTCTCCTGTTATAAGCATCATGTTCTCATGTCAGGCTCTCTGTATCTGTGAGGCTTTTCTGCACATGCCATCTGGGCAGAGGCTTGAGCCCCTGAGCACACTCTCCACAGGGACTCCACTCCTTACAGCTTTACTTTCCGTACTGGACCCACCATGACCAATGTTCCATATTTGCTGCTTGTCATCTTTTCACCAGAACATCTGCCTGAGCTCAGGGGACCTTACTGTGTTTACTGTTTACTCCACCAGTGGCAGGCACTACGAATATCTGCTGACTGAATTAATAAAGAGTATTTATAATTTTAAAAATTCACATTAAATTATGTATCTCTGTTAACAGGACTATTGGGTAGGTTTAACATTCTTTGTCTTTTCCATAAACTGGAGCCTGATAATATGTGAATTAATACAAACCAACAAACACGTTCACACATAAATACATATATGTCTCTGCTTACCTGTCATATTGCAAGTCCTCTGGTTACTTTCAAAATGGTACTGTCGTCGAGCTTGGGCAATGTATTCTGCAGCTTCTCTTTCTTGTATTTCTCTAATTTTTTTCTGTCCATATTTTCCGAGAATATATACTCCTAGAATTATTAAAAACAAAAGTAGTGTATTTCTAGAGTACTAAAAATTCCAACCAATATTTAAGCATGATTAAATTATAAGGTTTATATCAGGGATAAGCTGACAATTATAGCTTCTAAAAAATCTTTATTAAAGAATTAAAAAAGAAAAGGAGATTATAGTTTTTATTTATCTATCTACTTATTCATTTATTTTTACATATATACAATGTATTTTAATATAGCCAGTAATAAAAGAGTTATTGGCAGACAAGAAGAAGAAAGGCATTAAATTTATAATGTCTGGCAGCATCTTTAATAGTTAACTGGAGATATTGTAAACATCTAGCAACAGAGAATTATTTAAATAAATTATGATTTGTTCATTCAATGTTATCTTATGTAGCTATTAAAAACCACATTGCTAAATAGTTAATGACTCCAGGAAATATCAACCTTATACTATTGGATGACAAAATAACATCCAGGAAGTCTGTATTTTAATGGAGTAGATAAACAGAAAAGTACACAGGTTTAACTCCTAAAGTAAAATAAACTGAGAATTGTGATTTCCTGCTTTTGTTTGTTTTTCTATATTTTCTATGTTTTCCTCAATGAACACATAATTTAAAATCTCTATAATAAAAGTTTTTTTTTAATGAAAGAAAGGTATATATTCAGAAAGACACAAGTTTATTACCCACATATTGGAAAAAACCTCAAGGGGAAAAAAAAGAGTATAATTTACATCATCTAAAAACTACTAACTCAACTGAAAAAGGGAGCAAGAAGACAGATTATAACACAACAGTATAAATACGGCAGAGTCATGTGGTCTTTAGCACACTTAAGCATAGACGTTATAATAAAAATGCGTACATTTTTTTGTCACACCCAGGGTGAGTGGCCATCAGTTTTCTCAGCTGGGAATATGATGAACACTCCAGTGTTAAAATGTTATCAAGATACACTGGCACTCTTATCCCCTTCTTTATTCTGGACAATTCCACATACGTATACAATGCACTGAAATCACAGTCACCACTACACCTATTACCCAGTCTTATTTCCCTCCCACTCCTGCTTATCCACCCATTTTTCTCAAGCAGTTCCCCGTACCAGATGGTTTGTTTTAACTGTTACGTAGTACAATGAATATCAGAACTGGGTTTTCACAGAATAAATCAGGAAGTGTTCAAGACACTTGAGAAGCTGAAACATTTTAGCACCATTTCTCCTTAGGGAGGACTTAACCTGGAACCCAGAAAAGTCTTCCGAGTCAAATGAGTTACAGCAATGGTAGTGTTGCTTTGTTTCAGGTACATGGTTTTGTCATAGTGCCAAAGAACAGAATTCAGAAAGCTTATAGAACAGCCTTTGTTACTCTTCTGTCTTTATTTGCTAATAAATGGCTACATGTGCCAGAACTTGATTTCATTATAACCTGGCAGCAAGGGTACAGGGGACCCTTGCTCACTTATCTCCATTGCCTGTGACTCACACTACCTACCTAAAAGGCCTCAAGAATTACGTATAACCTAAGTAGCTGGATTTGGTCCATTTCCCACAAGCAAGGAAAGGTAGCCATCAGGAACTGCAAAGCAAACACATCCTAAGTTATTTTCATTAAGATGGATGTTGTAAATGATCTAAGACATTACCTATCCTTAGACAGTTCCATAAAATTGTGTGCTAAATAGGAAGAGTATATGGTTGTTGCTACTATACATATAAATACATGCATTATAATTAAGCCTGAAAAGCAAACAGAAATTGATAAAAGCTGTTCCACAGCCGCCTTTTCTGTAACATCACACAGTATAGACACAATACCATTTGAATAAGAGACACACGTGACTCAGGCCCATAATTCCATTTGAAGCAGGAGGATCACCATTTTGAGGGTAGGGTAGCCTAGTATGTACTGTGAGAACCTATTCCCCTTCCCTCTTTCCTAAAGTCCCAAGAAAATGAAGAAACTGACTTATATTTATCAAAGTGACCCTCCAATAGGCAATTCTGGTGCAACTAGTTCTGATTCACTATTCGTATCTTATCTCCGTAACATATTACTCAAAGTTACACAGTGATTACTATCTCTCAAGTTGTACTGTAAAATGAATCATCACTTGGTAAGTGCAGTTTATTCTTGTTAGCTAAAAAGAAAAATGATTTATTATGGGTTGAATTGTGTCCACTCTCCTCTTAAGCCACAAACTGGTATATTCAAGGCCTAGCACCTTAGAATGTGAGATCAATGGGCCTCAAACCAACATGACCAGTGTCCTGATAAGAAGATGAAATTCAGACACAGGTATGCGCAGAAAAGACAGTAAGTCCCTAGAAGCTCTCTGTAGCGTTATAGTAGTCAGTATTCAGGTGCAGAAGACAGTGTGAAAACAAGATGATTGTCGTGTGGCACAGCCTGGTACAGATCCCTTACAAGTGCCAGAAGGGACAGACACCTTGATCATGTACTATTAACATCAAAATTGTGAGATAAACTTCAGTTTCTCAAAGTACTCACTTTGTAGGTCTTTATTATGGAAGCACTAGAAAAATCACACATGAAATTAGGCTTACATACCAGATCCATTGATTTTCTTTAGTTAGCACTGATATTCTTAGTCAAGTAGTTCACTTAGGATCCCACATGCAAAACTAACAAACTGACTTTTTCCAATGTTTCTTTAGGAAATACTAAGGAAAGAAAAACTATCATTAACTAAGACAGAATGCTCAGGGCTCTCTGTGATTCCCTGGCAGCCTGACTCTTGAACTAGAAAACAGCAGTGCTGATGGCTCCCATGCCAGCAGCAGAGGTACAGCAAGCGACTTACTCCTTCAGGATGGACATCATTTCCATGTGGAAAGTTGAACAGTTTTAAATTTCCTCTGTAGCTAAAACTTTGTTTATTAGCAATGAAAATATCTACTAAATACCAAAAAAAAAATATTGAGTGAAAATGTTTTGATGTTTCTTTTTATAGCCAATAAAGCAAAATATCTTTTAGTCTTCATATATATCATTTGTTTTAAAACCATTTTTCAGTCTTGTCTTCCAGGATAAAAATTCCTACAATACAACTATTTTCAATAGCAATTTCAAATTAATGAATCAACATTGCTTCCAATCAGGCAGATCCCTAAGTTTTGAATTTATTTCCATTTTCTTTTCAGTGAGGCCATTGCTGTATGTACCACATGGTGATATCTCCAACCCAGTACTGAGACATTCTGTAAATGTATTCACATCTGAAGAAGCAGAATCTGAAGGATAAGAGTCTATATTTTTCTGAAGCACTTTAAATGGTTTTTGTCCACAGTAAAGACTGAGAATAACAATATACTCAGGATCCTGTCCATACTGCACACAATGGCCGAGTAAGGAAGGCTTGTCACACTTTATACTGCTTTGTTTACTTCTATCCATGCTTTCACACTATAGGAAGAGTTCCCCAAAGCCAGAAATGGTGTCTTATTTCTTGTATATTCAGAGTTCAGCATACAGTTTGTACTGCTTTGTTTACTTCTATCCATGCTTTCACACTATATGATGAGTTCCCCAAAGCCAGAAATGGTGTCTTATTTCTTGTATATTCAGAGTTCAGCATAGTTAGACTAGGCCTTCTTCTTCTTGTTCAAATGTTGAATGAATAAATGACAAAAAAAAAAAAAAAAACAAACAAAAAAAAACCCAAAGAAGTTAAAAATTACAAGGCTTAAGATCTAATTCAGTGTTCTGTGCTAACACAAAACAAAACAAACAAAAATAGAACCAAGAAAGACAATAAGTATGAATCTGGCTCCTCTGTTCCTTCTTTTGTGCAATGGTTTTCAGAGTATGGTCTGGGCATCCCTGGAGTTGGTTTAGGGATCTGTGAAGTCCACACGATTTCTGTCATACTAAAATGTTGTCACTGAATAAAGTGTAATTAATATAAAAAAATTAAAGTTAAAATTAAAAACAAATTTCATCCTCAAAAAAAAAAATGTTGTCACTGGCATTCTCCACTCTTCCTGAGTATACTGTAGAGGATTTTAGAAGCCGATTCATGGGTAGTGACACACATGACTGACAACAGAAGGGATGAGAATTTCTTCAGTTAAGGCAAACTAAATAGTTTTTCAATTGTAAGATAATGGCATTCTTCTCATTAATTTCTCAAAATGTTTTGTAACTATTTAATAGTTTTATTGTTGTTATCTTAAATGAGCTAACAAATACTTTTAAAATCCCTTGGTTTTAACTTCAAACTGGTAGGTAGAACTTAGGAGGCTGTGGGGAATCCTTAATTTCCCATGAAACAGTTTTGAGAACCACTACTCTTGTCTGGTCTCAAATGGTCAATCTGCATCAACGGACATGAAGCAATCACCATCCAAAATGCAGGAAAATAGAAATTCTGACTTTCGAAGCCACTCAACTCAAAGTTCTGCATGGTTGTGGTTTTCCAGCAATAAATATCTAACTTTTGATCATGGATAATAGCACCCTATTCAGCTTTCAAGTCTGTCAAAATGTGCCAGTCCTCTTGTGAAATCCTTACCCTCATTTTATAAAACTTCATATTGTTTCATATCAATATGCTCTGTATTCAATTCTTTCATTGTCTTTTAATAGTATTTTACTTATTTCTTCATTCATAAAACATCAAAGAATCCACAAAAGCAGAGTGGTAGAGTATAGAATGACAATATGCACTGGGATCTAACACACCTGAGGTTGCATTCTTACTTCCTTGTTAGTAACTCAAACCCCTGGCAAGCTTTTTACTCTATGGACTCTAGTTTCTACATTTAAAAATGGCCTAACAGTAACTATCCTGCTATCATTCCCATTGGCTGGAATGAGCTTACTATGGTGTTCAACATACAGTCTCTAATAAATGTAGGTGATTAAAAATCTGTAAATTGTACCTGTTCAATCATACTATCCCCAGTAGTACAATCACTTATAAATATTCCATAAATAAAAATGTAATATAGGAATTTTCTCATAATACAGAAAAATATGAACTCTTTACAAATCAGAACTAGGTATGTTCAACTATTTTTTTCTATTTTGCTAAAAACTAGCGTTTCTATTATATGCCTCTGAATCTCTTTTTCCAGCCCTCTTTTTGTTTCTTTTTTGAGACAGGGTCTCAGTATGAAGCTCTGGCTGTTCTGGAACTCACTATGTAGACCACACCTCCAATTCACTGAGAACTGCCTGCCTCTGCCTCCAAGTGCTGGGAGGCACCCAGCTTTTTTTTTTCCTTCTTAATCTGCAATTACAAAGCTTTCCATAAAGTTTCAAAAGAAAACATATCACTATATCCATACACTCTTTAGTTTTTCCTATGATTATTTCTGATCTGCCATTAGGTATTTCATAAACCTTAAGGGTTAGGCTCTCCCATCTGAAATTGCTAGGGACAATTTTCTTTCCCTGGGTAAAGCAAAAAATTTTATTTATATGTCTTCCATGATACATACATCTTTATTTTCCACATATGTATTCTGTAGTATTGGCACAATGCAAATATGCCTTAGGTATTAGAGACTGGAGGTAATATAAAACATATATTTATAAAGTATTTCTCAAAGGTGATTATCAATCATTATTCATTTGTGATATACCTCAGAGATACGCAGGATATGGCTATTACCTTATCAATGACCTGATATTTTAGGTCATTTTATAACATATATTTTAAGATAAGAGGATATTTTAGGACTAGAGGATAGTGATAACCTTTCTTAACTCAAGTTTAAAAAATTCTTTTAAAGTTCCCAAGTTTCCTTGTTTTTGTTGTTGTTTAAAAGACTCTTCTTAAAATCCCAGATTTCTGAACTCAGTGTTGTTTTACCAGGATCAAGGGTTTAAAGCAGAGTGAGGTGTGTGTGTGTTACCTGGGATACAGCATAGTAGGCAAGCACTCAACCACAAAGCTACGTACGATTCTAGCATATATGTTTTCATCTTATGTGATTCTAACTCTCCTCTCAGCCAGTGAACTCAACTATAGCCCCAAAATGGGCAATGCCTACAACCTTGACAGTCCTGACAACACTGAAGAATAACCCAATCCTAAGAATTGTGTTGATGCAGAATTTGTAGGTTTTAAATTGCAGAATAGAATATCGTATTTCCCCCATTTTTCTAGTGTATATCTTACAGCAAGCTGCTGTTTTCAATTTAACTTTAAACACTATCTCAAAGTGCACACTTAATCTAATTGCCCTAGAATATTTCGAAACTCCCGTGAAAGGTTGCAAGCTAGAGTACTGGAGTTGCCAAAAAGATGAAGAAATATAATAGGAAGGAAAAAAATTGGAAGGTAAATGTCTCTATACAAGGATAGTGTTTTGAAAAGAAACTTCATTGGGGTAGGTTCCTGAAGGCCGGTGAGGGAAAAAGGAGCGGGCAGAAATGAGGGGCAAAGGGCACAGAGAGGGGAGATAAAAGAACCTCAGAGATTCTCATTTGAAGGTTGAGTCAATCGCTTCCACATATGCTGGACTAGGTTCAGTGGGCCTTGCTTGTTTTAGAAGGCACCTCTGTCACTCCTTTGTGCCAACGTCCCCTTCCAAAACATGTTGTCACTCACCTCCAAGGACTGTGCCCAGGAAGATGCATTTCTTTTTGTGACGTTTCAGAAAATTCCACATTGATCTCAGCATCTTCAGACACTGGGTGTGTGGGGGTTGCCTAGGGGAGAGGGGTTGGCTCACCAGGAAACCGTGTCTTCGTCAATCTGGGCCAGACCTCCGGCAGAAACACTGTGGTCGTGCTAGGTGCTCTCCAGAAACAACCAACGCTTCTTTGCGCAGAAGCTGTCGCCAGAGCGGAGGAAGGGGGCGTGGACTAGAAAGGAGCAGCAGTGCTTTCCGTCCCCCACGCCGCTTACTGGGCCTGGATGCGTGGGTCCGTCCACAAACAGCTCCCGGGTGCCTCTCCTTTTTCCGTCTTCCCGGAAGCAAGAGCCCGTGCCTGCCGAGTTCCGCTGTCCTCTCTCCTCTAGCCCTTTGGACTGGGAAGGGTCTAAGTGGCGGCGGTATGGAGGAGAAAGTGGCCTCCACCACTGCTACAGACGGCTCATGCATGGTGTCTGCCCAGGAAACCGAAAAGTGGATGGAGGAGGCGATGCGAATGGTGAGGAACCTGGCAAGTGGAAACTGAGAGTGCAAACTTTTCTCCTGGTCACATCCTGACCCGGGTAGTTGAGCAAGTGTGCGTGGCGCGCTTTCTCATCACCATCATCAGCGCTCAAAATATCTGAATCAACAGCTTGTTTTATTCTAGGGGAAGTTTCTTTAGCTTTGTCTCATAGTAATTGGGGCTGAGGGAAAATGATTGGTATACAGTTGTATTACATGTAGCCCTAGCTTTCGCCTGGGGATATTTGCTACCTACCTGGCTATTTTCCTTGCCATTGAAGGACACATACTTTTAAATCCACATTCTTTTGTGGTTTGTTCCCGACATCCTTGAACAGGTATAATGGAAGGAAGCTGAAGATGTTTCTGGTAGAGAGTCATATGAAAATGTAGCCTGGCACAATCCTCACGTATCATTCATTTACTCTTTCTACAATACTTTTTTTTCTGTCTTTGTATTTCCTTCCCTTTTTCCCTTTAGGAATTGCTGGTGTGGAGGGCTCTGGTCATGTTTACATGTTTTCTCAAGCTTTACTCATGTTGATATGTTGCAGAGATAGAAACTTGTATGGTATATAAACATGCACAGTCTTTCTGATGCTAGGTTTTTATTCTGTGAACATTATGGAATATACTTACAGGGATCTAGGTGATATAGTATAGCCATCTACACACCAATTTGTTTACATCATTATAAAGGCCTTAAAACTCAGCCATTGATGCAGGAATGTTCTTTTTTCTATTTTTTCATAATCAAAATATTTCAACTTTTAATTCTAATGGTTACATAAGTTCACATTCATAAGAAATTAAGGTCAAGGACATTTAACAGATTATGTAAAAATTACTTAAAAGTCCTGACCTCAGAGATAGCCTTGCTGACGTTTTGTGAGCATCCTTCATATATTTCTATCCTTGTGAAAACAGAAACAGACATCTTTTTTCATAAATGGAATCATATATTCTTTTTTATATATTAACACTTTTTGGTTTGTCTTTCTCACAGAATTTGTTAGTTTATGGAAGAGAAAGTTGTCATTTCAGTGGTAGAACTTTGGCCTCTTCCAAAGGTCAGCTTCCTAAGCTCAAAGACATCTACACAGTTAGACCTGTTTTTGCCCAAACTCTTTTGATTTGCGACAAGAGGAAGGCACTTGTGGGAAGAGGTGGGAAAGGCATTGGAGAGTCTGCACGTGGATTTTCAACTTTCATACAAGTTTTGAACTTCTCAGGAGAGGAAACGTATGCTCATTTTTATGTATATGTATTGGAAAACAGTTCCTCTAAATCAGCTCTCACAGTCTTCTTCTCACCTTGATGTACTGTCATACATTTGCTCAGCCACTCACCCTCATAATGGCCTACAAGGCCATTCCTTATCAGTAATGTTGTTTGTCTTTTTAAGATAGCCCTGTCATTTCTAGTGAGATAAATTTGCTGGAGGATAAAAGGTACCCAGAGGAACTAGGTACCAGGAGTCCCAGTTGATTTGGGAGTCTCTGTTGATTTGGGAGCAGAGAAAGGCTGCTAGGATAGCAGTGCTCTGCAGCATATCTGGGGTACAGTGGATAGGGCTCTCGGCCCTCTTTAGCTCTCTCCTTCTACCTATATAGAAAATAATTGTGTGTGTGTGTGTGTGTGTGTGTGTGTGTGTGTGTGTGTGTGTGT